GGCTCTATCTGCAGCTTTTCCAGAGTCATTTCTTATGATTACATTTTCCCACAGGCCAACAACAGCTTCAAAAAAACTATTTCCTTCAAAGAAAAAAACAAACATGCCCTGTTGTCGTGACAAAGAAAGTGCAGAAGGAAACATCCATTGAAACTCAGTGTGCTGCACTGTGATGCTAGTTCAAACCAGATACTTGGCATCTCATCCCGGGTGCAGGGTCATCAATGTTTGGGCTCAGGCTCTGAGGTGAGGAAACCCTCAGGATTGAGTGAAGGTGTGCGTGCAATATACCGGCGAGCCAGATCTAATAATAATTAGAAATTAAATCCACCAAGGGCCTGATTTGGCCCCCGGGCCTTGAGTTTGACACATGTGCACTAATGTTTTCATCACTATTGCAGCTGTTAAAGAGGGAGCAAAGAGTTCAGATGAAACTATATCTGTAACACAATAAGGCCTTACAGTGCGTCCATATGTACTTTACTGAGAGCCACGGTGCTTGTTTATTAATTTAAATATTGAAATATATTTTTGGGACACCACTGTACTAAATGAACGTAAGGTGATTGATGTCTATGTAAAACAAAGTATTATAATTGTATAATAATATATATGAGTCGTCAATAAAATAACACAGCAATCAAACATGCAGTTTGAAAAGAACCAGATCCATATCAAATATAATATATATAATAATTATTTCTGTAATTGGTTTGATTATGATACTAAACCTGAATATTCCAGAACCTCTGTGAGTTGGCTGTGTCTGTAGAATAGATTATTACATAAAAATTACACAATATCTTGTTTTGTTTTTTTATAGGAACACGACACTGTCTTAACCCTTTAATTACCAGACCAAGAAAAAAGCTGGAAAAATTATTTGTTTGCATTTTTTTTATCAAATTGGCAACAAATAATTTTTATATTTTTGACTGACCACACCGTTTAGTTTTTATGAGCCTCTACCAAATGGTCGAGCTGGCCTTTTATGGTAAAAGTGCATTTTCAACAATCATCGTACAGTATTTGTATGCATCAAACTCAAATAAAACACAAACTCAAATAAAACAATTATTTTATGGAAAATGAGCAATATATACAACCAGATTCATAAAAGATAATAAATTATAATTGTAAAAAAAAAAAAAGGAATGGAAAAAAGTAATGTTAAGTGTTTTTCATAATAAAAAAAAGACTTGCTCATCTTACTGTATTTGCTGAATTGGCCTAACAAGAAACCACTGGCCTAACAGCAAATGTCTATATCCTGTGTTGGCCTAACTTGCTCATCTGTGTGCAACTTTGGGCTGAATGCCATGCATGAAAGGTGCTATATAAATTATTATCACTCTTTCACTCATAAGGCAGTACTAGATGTAGTAATATTACCATGAATCTAGCCATTTATTTACCATATTTTATTGGAAAACATCTCTGAAACTCTGAGTAAGTCATATTGGTAGTTTACCATAAAAGTCCAAATAAACCGATTGGTTGAGCATATTTTCCAAAAAATAATTACACCCTTGTTAAAACTTTTTTTGTGAATCAAGTTATCTAATTATGTTCAGTCAGTGCTCTGACACTAAAATATGTCAAAAATGACATGGTTACCTTACAAAAGTTGACCAAAAAGAGTGATTTTTTCAGCAGTGATTTTTAGCATGTCAACTTTCTCAGAGGAAGCTAGCTGAAGGGCCTTCTGTTCGAACCACAGTGACATCTAGAGGTTTGTTTTGTGCATAACATGTCAACCAAAGGGTAGAGCTGGCTGAATCATATGGAGTTAAACTTTTTTATTTTTTTTTCAACAAGATATCAAGACACAAAATGTGCTCTACCAAATGGTGGTGCTGGCTATGAAAGGGTTGGGGTTCTCTTCAGCAATATTTATTCTCCTAAATCTAAATGAAAGATAATCTGAAAAAAGTGTATTTAGTTAATATCACTCAGCTAAAATAGGGCCATTGTCACTGTGTGTGTTTGTGTGTCCATGCCCTCCACAATGCGTACTGATTAATGTGTCCATCCATCAATATCAGCTCCTCTCCGCCCAGCAAACACAGATATCAGTGACGGATCACCCTGATCAATAAGGTTAAACACACTGATGTGGATCTAGAGTGTGGGCAAACAAGTGTGTGTGTGTGTGTGTGTGTGTGTGTGTGTGTGTGTGTGTGTGTGTGTGTGTGTGTGTGTGTGTGTGTGTAAGGAATGGTGGAGAGTAAAAGTGGGGGGGTTTTGGTCTGGTATAACAGAGTCAGTTTCATCCCTTGAGGCATCAATGAGGAGGAGGGAGGAGGAAGATGAGCAGAGACAGAAGGGAAGCGACATGAAGAGTCTAAAATGACTCTCACACATTAAAACACACACACAGAAACACACACGCAGACATTGGGTGTCATTTTCCATCAGTAGCCTGTATGGCTGTGAGTTATGACCGCAGCAATGCGATCATTTACACTCAGCGCTGCAGATAGCCAGGGGCTACTGTTCGCTGCGTTCATGTGTGTGTGTGAGCAGAGATTTTGTTTCCACACAACACTTGCTTGAGTGTATTGGTGTGTCTGAAGCACACAGCTGAAGATGAGCGCAAACAGACATTTGTGTTCAGTTGTTTCACATTCCAGATATATAACAGAGACATGCTGTCAGCTTCAATAACGGCTTTAACTGAAGGCATTTCTTCTTGCTTTAATTCAAGGGTTGTATAGACAAAGAACACGTGTTTTAAAGGTCCCCTATTGTGCTGTTTTTCATCAATATATTATAGGTCTCAGATATTTACAAAACATGTCTCTAAAGTGTTTGGCTCCAAATACCAAACAGATCATGCATTGCAGCATCCCATAAACCCCTCTGTTTCAGCCCTGTTTCAAAAGTGCTGATTCTCTGTCTGTTACTTTAGATGAAAATAAGGAGCCACTCCCCACGCCCCACTGAGAGATATTTGGTTAAAAAGGACATAATGCTGCTCTAGGAGGAGATTCAGGTGATAAGGTTGGTTGGTGATTGGCTAATGGTTACACAAGCCCAAAAAACGTTATGACATCATAAAGTGGCCAAAATCTGATCAGCTCATTTTCAGACAGGTTTTAACTTTTTATATAAATGGATCAGGACAAAAAGAGAGAATCTTTTTTCTTTTTTATATTAACGATATATATTTAAACAAAATATGCAATAACATCTATATATATATTTTTTGGCCACTCACTTTGGCCAAATTCCAGATTGAGGTGATACATATCTGCACATTATCATACTGTTTTTTTACAATACAAAATGGCATATTATTATACAAATACATGTTGAAGCATCTATGAGGTTCCAATGATTGGGAACACTTGATATAAACACTTCAAGCTGGTTTACATATCAATATTACAATACCTAAATTCTGGTTGACATATGTCAACATCCTCAAAGATGTTGAAAAAACCAACCATCTAACTGATCATAACAGACAAAAGCTACATTAAGAAGACGAAGCGAGGAAGTGCTTGACTTCCCCAAACTTATAACAAAATAAAGTTGGAACAGAAACAGTATTTCTGGAGCAGAGAAAGAGGGCAAAATGTAAACAAGATGGCGTCTTCTTCAGCTGAGATGTAACCAGCGCCGGACAGTTTCTCGTCCATGTAAAGATGCACTCTTCCTTCTTTGCATTGATATTGTTGCTGATGTTGTAGAGAGAACATTTTTCCTACATGAAACTGCTTACAACGAAGTCTGTGGATTACTGCTCATGATTTCTGGGAAGAGGCATTCCAGTTCAGGTCATTTAATTATGTTGAATCTCTGCACCTCACACCAAAACAATTTAGATTTATAAAAAGCACTACAGGTACGAGGAAACTTATGGGTTTTTAGTTTTGGTGTGAACTAACCCTTTTAAGATTTGTATTCCATTATGATCCCTCCATGAGTTATTTAGACATAGTAACATAGCAACAGAAACAAACAACGAAAACAAACTCTCTGAGAAGGGAGTGACAACTTTAATGTAATTTCATATTCTGTGATAAATTGTACTCAATGAAAAGATCTCAATGAGTCAAACTTATTTTTGGTTTATTTCACGTCACACAACATGACATAAGAGTGAACAGCAGAATAAATATATCAAGGAACCCCCCCAGGAAACAACAGGCATCAATTAGTCCTGTCAGGCTGAAGCTTTCCTTTCAGTTCAGCTCAGGCCATTCCAGTTCAGATCAGTTCAGCTTGATTCACTTGAATTCAGTATGCTTCACCTAGAAATGTGTCTCACTTCTGACAGCGAGCTGTTTTACTCTCGTCTCTTTACTCCTGCTGGCTGCATGTGACACCTGCAGGGAGACAGAGAGGAGACATTAGCCTGTGTGTGGGGGAGAAATATAAATATAAGACTCAGTGTGGGTAAAAACATAGAAATAGCACATAATTAGGAAGTCTAGGAATAACTGGGGAAAGGAGATGTTTCTTTAAAGATTAAAAACGCATTCGTAAAAATATAAAATTGTTAAAATAATTGCTAATGCTACTAATAACATGAAACATTACGAAACAACGTATACACAGCAAAATAATGAGATGACTGTAAAATACACACACACACACACACACACACACACACACACACACACACACACACACACACGCACACAATTCAATCAGGACTCTGCTGCTGCCTGGGGGAAGCGTAGTGTGGAATCTTCACTATAGTGGAAATCACCTTTTCCATGTCATTTTACCCAGCAGCACCTACACTACACACAGAGTCTGGCTGCTTTCACACCGAGGACCAGGAGACTTTTTTTTAACTCTTTGTGGTGTGGATCTCACACCGTCATGGCTGTCTCAGCCAAAAGAGTCTGTGATTTTATACAACCGTGGAAAAAAAATCAGCTTCAAAGAGCTAATGTGATCATGTGACAGCAGTGGGTTTGGTGATGTGAGCTTTCTAATCTTAGGGCGTATTCACACCAAGCTGTTTTGGACTTGTTTAAAGCCTGGAGTGTTTCACACGCAGGTTCGCTTTGTTTGGGAATATGCGAACACATAAATCGCACTCGTACGTGGAGCTAAACAATTCCAGTTCTTGCTAGAATCATTTTGAACATTTTATGAACACTGGTATATTAACTACATGCATTATCTTGGCAAGCAGTGTACCAACATTTTTTGCAATCTTTCCGAGTTTATTTGAATTGAGCAGCTCACATATCTTTCGGACTATTTGAACATTTCAATAATGCAGCACAGAAGCCTGATATACAATGTTAACATACATTTTGTTTATCCGTCTTGTGATTGGGTACTACGTTGGGCAAAATGTAATACATGGTCTTCCTTGGACCATGATACATTATACATTTTCTGACCAATGAAAGAACATTTTTTTCACGCATGACAGTTATTTTAGACTTTCGGACCATAATTGAATATTGAAAGGTGAAAATAGTGTGAAATAAGTCTCTGAAATGGGAAAAAATCTAATCAACTATTAACATACCTGACCAAAATGTTTCTATATAACAAATAGGAGGTTCATTTATTGTAATTAATCTGTATGTCTATTTGGGAACAGTTGCAGTGTTCGATTCAATTGGACAGAGCCAGAAGTCCTGTTTCAGTGTTTATGCTAAGCGAAGCTAATCAGATGCTAGCTGTAGTTTCATATTGGCATATAGAGTAGGTAAGTATCTAACTTATAATTTAATTCGAGCAAGAAAGCACAGAAACAGCCCAAGTTTTGAACCATCATCGGTCAGAATAATTTTATATGGGCAAAAAGATTTTCTTCTGCAAAGAATCCAAGCCAAAAAGTGAGAGTAACTTTAAAAGTATCTAAAAACCCATAGAGATGACATTTGAGCAAAGGAGGAGGATCTATCTGCTGGATGACATCCAGAAAATGTGAGGAGTGTGTGAGTAGTGTTCTGCCATGTGTCAACCATCTCAGAGGAGTGTCGAAGAGGAGGGCAGTAACATGTTGAGCATCTCATCAAATCGCTCTGGCTTTAAACGGCCTCTCCGGAGTGTGTGTTTAGCAAATTAAAGGCCAGGGAATTTTTCATAATTGTCTATTTTATCATTTTATTACAGCTAGCTTTCCTCTGATGGGCTCCCTTTATGATTTATCAAATACAATTACTGCGTGACTTATTTCAGGAGCTCTCCATTGCTGAGAACCATTAGTGTGTGTGTGTGTGTGTGTGTGTGTGTGTGTGTGTGTGTGTGTGTGTGTGTGTGTGTGTGTGTGTGTGTGTGTGTGTGTGCAGCTCTAGTGTTCTTAAATAGCTTTAACTAATTGGAAAAACAGGAAAAGAGGCTGGAAAAGCTAAATTGTCTTTGTGGATTTATACCCCCACCCCCCACTTATTTCCCTCTGTTGCTCTCCTTAAATATTCCAGAATCTAAAATAAGAGGAAATCATGTTTTAACTGATACACAGGAACTAATTCGTAATAGTTTTATTTTTTTGCTGCTTTGATATTTCTCGAGGAAGGAAGAAACAGTCGGATAGAGAGCTAGAAGGAAGGGAAGAAGCACGCAGACAGAGGTTAATTCCATACCTTCCCCTCCCTGGTAATGAAGTGTAGGTGGCGTCCCGGTCACTGCAGCTAATTGAACAGCGGAGATTACAGCAGCCGTGGCTCCTCTGTGAAAAGAAGGCCGTGTTCATTAGTCGTTGCCATATAATATTCATTCTCTGTAGAAATATGTAGATAGTATCCTATGCAAAGAGCCGCTGGGATGATTTTAAAGCTCTCAACATGTATCGTGTAGCAATAACTCGAACAATCATTATTTGAAAAATGTCAAGCCTCTGGCTGCACTCCTATTCATCATATCTGTGCTTTCCTGCTTAGAGATGCTGCTTTACTCATATTGAGCTTGGTTTTGTTCTTTAATGACAACATATTTTATTTTAAGCATTTTAAAGGCTTTTCAACCTCCACCAAACTAACTTATTATAAGGATTCATGTGCGAAAATGCTTCTCATCAAGTTGAAATCCATCCTTTTCCCGTGTTCAGATCTATGTAAAGTAGCAATACATACGGTGGCCGACCCACGCAAATGCGTTAGAATGGCCCAACACTTCCATTAGGAGAAACGTGCTGTACTTTTAAATAGGGGGCAAACATAACAACACAAAGGTCCCAAAACACATTTAAATGAAGAAACATCTTCACCAACTTGACAACACGCACGGAGCATTAAGAAAACATAAAAAAGGCAAAACAGGCGCAAGGCTAAAAACCCTAAATGAAACGCTGCAAATGCAAAATGTTTCAATTAAATTAAACGGTGCAAGAAGCTTAAAACACAACGAAACGGGGACACTAAAAAGTGTTGGGAACGGAGTGCTTTTGACAACCAGGGATAATAAAGTTCTTAATTTGAATGTGTTTTGGCCCATTTGTGTTTTTTATTATCCTTGTTGAAAGTGCAGCCGGTGTTCTCCTAATGGAGGTGATTTAGGCCGTTGTAACGTGTTTGCCTCTGTCGGCCACCGTAAATACCACTGTGCCGAAATACTCTGTTACAAGTAAAAGCCCTGCAATCAAAGTAATAAAAGTAACCAGTGTGGCCAAATAAATGTGAACAATTAGCATACAAGTGCAAAAGCCTACAAGTACCTTCAAATTGTACTTAAGTAATGTTCTGAGGTTCTGTTCACCCCTGGTGTCATGCACCTTGAAGAAAGAATACTATATATCAGTTATGAACACACCCCACGAAATGCACTTATTTTGTGCGGAGATTATTGCTGAATATCTGTCTCAATATTTCAAAAAGGTCATCAGCTGAAATACCTGTCTTTGGAGTGTAATTGTGCCGAAACACCATGTCAACGTCACTCCACGCTCTCCACATATTCCTTTATATTCTCTTCTCTGCCAATGAGAAATGATTATGGAATAAAATATGTTCCTACAGTCTCTGTCTATCATGTTCTCTGCCTCAAAGTAGATAGGGTAGGCACTCCAGATGAAAACACTCACACAGTGTGAATAATAGTGTATGTTGTCGATTTTAAAGCAAATACTGTGCAAAACAGGATTACATAATCAAAAGAAGCACCGGTAACCCTGGTAAATGTTGGCGTGGCATTACAGCCTCTGGCATTTCATGTTCATGAATTTAATTTGGCTCTTCACACCATGTTACATTCATGTCCACAGCTTTTTCTTTCATTTTTCTTTGGGGGGGTTGTGGTGAAGTGTTTGCATGTAATAATAGCTAAGACGGAGATATGCTACGTTTTCTATACTGTAGAAATAACAAGAAACAACATTCTTCTTCCAAATTAACTGCATCCATCAGACTGTATTGCATCTTTGGTTTGTTTCCCACATTTGTATTATTGTTATGTATAATTTCCTATGCTTTTAAATGTGCTTCAGAATAGGTGGATGTGACGCTGACTCGTTCCTCTGGTTTCCTGACGCTGGAAACAGAACTGTGTAGGAGCACGTCTTTATAAAGACAAAAACAAAACTCCTCTCTGCTTCTGTCACTTTTCTAACCCCATCGAACCCTGTCCTCTTACCGTCACCCTCCCCCCTTTTTGATTGCCCATCCAGCTCAGTGGGACCCTCTCTCTCTTCCCTTCTCTCACTGTCTCTCTGCCTCACTCGCCCCCTCCCTCAGGGCAGAAGTAAACCACGCCTTGAGGCCCTGCTCCCATTGTGTATCCTCTGCTACTTCTGTTTGGGGCCTTTGTGTGCCGCTAATCAGCCGTGGGGCCATGCTCAGCCTTGTGTGTGTGTGTGTGTGTGTGTGTGTGTGTGTGTGTGTGTGTGTGTGTGTGTGTGTGTGTGTGTGTGTGTGTGTGTGTGTGTGTGTGTGTGTGTGTGTGTGTGTGTCCGTGTGTCCCTTGCCCTCATTACGTAGCCACACTGGGAGGCCAGCATGGGAAGTTTCTGCTGCACTATACCCCTCCCTCCACCTCCCCCCTTTTCTCTTCCACTCCCTCTAGCTGTCCATCACTCCCTTCTTCTCCCCCCCCACCCCCGTCACATCTCGCCACCCCATACATAAAGCTACACAGGCCATGATTCATAAATGAAACTACACCTGTTTCAGCCTAAAGCGAGCGTCCGATGACCATAACTAAACTAGTCCTACCCAGTGGTGGGAAGTGACAAAGTACATTTACTCAAGTACCGTACTTAAGTAGTATTTTGATATATTTGCACTTTACTTGAGTATGTGTATTATTTGCTACTTAAACTTCTACTCTACTAGTAAAGTAGAACTTTAAATGTTCTGCAACATAAAGCACTTTTTACTCTACTCGTTTTTATTTAACACTCATAGTTACTTTTTCATATAAAAACATTTGATTTCTTTATTTGATATATCGCAGTACCTAACTACTAATATACAAAAATACAACCCGGTGCAAAATCTAATAGTGCATATTAAAATGCCCTGACATGTTTAAGTTAGAGATAGAAACAGTAATATATATGATTATTTAAAAATATAGCCATTGCGCATATTGACTATACTTCTTATACTGTAAGTACATTTAGCTAATTATACTTCTGTTCCTCTACTTAAGTAACATTTTTAATTCAGGACGTTTACTTGTAATGGAGTAATTTAAGACCATAGTATTTCTGCTTTTACTCAAGTAAAGTGTTTAAGTACTTCCTCCACCTGGTCCTAGCCCATGATCAATTTGTGTTATTAAATTAAACTGGTTGCTAGTTTGAATACTGATATTTATACTAACTAAACTCAGCATAACAAGATTCATTCTCAAAAGTAGAATGTTGAGATTTTGAGTGCCCAACTTATACTTGGTAAAAAACTTTTAAAATAACCTAGATAGATAATTTTTACTTTTTCATGACTTGGATTAAGGGGCAGTTATTGTTACTTTTATAGTCATAAACTATGTGTGGAATAAATACAATTAAATTCATGTTTTAAAGGAATTTAGTTTGTACTATACATTTGAGCCTACACTTAGCATACACATCAAAATGATTACAAACGCATTAATATAAAGTTGCGCTTTGCAGCCAGTTACAGTGTTATAAGCGATTAATAACGTTAGTGTGATTTAAAAAACGATTTATTAGAGTACAAGTCCAACAGGTTGATAAATTGTCTCTCATGCGATCAAGCTTTAACATGCTCAGGATGAGTCAGCTGATGAGTAATCTTCCGTATAATTGGTGGATAATGACTGTGATATTATGCTGTCAATGAATGCATTGTTCTATGTTAGCTTGTGTGGTGAGTTTAGACTTATGTTGTATACATTTTTTTTTTATGTTAGGTCAGTGAGTGTTTGACATGGCTACAAGACACATTTTCCTATTTGGGACGATAATGGTGAGTGAAACATGTTTTCCTTTAACATGTAGCAGGCTCAGTATCAACAGGATGTCATAGTTAAGAACTTCACTGTACATGACACACTGTTAGATTGGCAAGTGATGCAACTTAAACCTAATAAAATAATAGAAGGTTACTGAGGGACTATCTCTGTCCATTTCAATGTTACATGAATAAACTGGAGCAAGTGAACTGTCCGTTGCTCTTTATTGCCCCCTCTGTCCCCCTCTGGCTGCTCCCTCAACCTCCTAACCCCCTCCTCCTCCACTTCCTCACCTCCTTCTCATCTGACCATCCCCTATACCCTGCTCCTTCTCCCATCCAGGATATATCCCCTGTCCATGTTTGTGTTGTTGTGTGTGTTTGTGTTTGTGTGTATGTGTGCCTGTCTTGGTGCCCAATGGGGCTTTAGCCATTGGAGCTTTAGCCATTGCAGCTCAGCTCTTTGACTCGAGGACAAGTGTTGTCTGTTCATCTCTCATCCACACTCACACACACACACACACACACACACACACACACACACACACACACACACACACACACACACACACACACACACACACACACACACACACACACACACACACACACACTTTCTCTCTCCCTCCCTCTCTCTCTCTCTTCAGTCAACAGCTACACTCCTATCTCAAGTTTCAGTGTGGGACCGAGAAAATCTCTCTCTCTCTCTCTCTCTGTCTCCTTCTCTCTTTCTCCCCCCTCCATTACTTTCTTTACCTGAGTTACCACAGTTTACTGACCCATATTCATGTAACATCACATCATGAGTGCAAGAGAGAGGGATAGAGAGAGCTTAGAGATTACTTGAGAAGTGAGACTTCTTCACTTTTTGTTTCCGTCTCACGGAAGCTCTTACGAGGCAATCTTTTTTTTATGGACAACTTGGTCAAATCACTAGACCAGTAAAGACATAAGGGCAATGCTAGTGGGAAGAGTCTATTGCTTTTCTGTTTTAAGATTCGCTATAATCTTTCCAGATGTCTGAGTTCAGCCCACACACATTTAGGCGGCTGAAACTTAGGTTTTGAAAGTGATGAAGACAACAGTCCAGGCAGGGTTTTTTTTTTCTAACCCAAAGTCATTGATTGTACACCTCCATTGGAGCCCACACGTCCATGTCCCTGAGCCTTTTGAGGCATATAACCTATTTTATAAGTGAACAAAATAGGAACTTTAAATCTTCTCTCCAAAATGTTATGGCAGAAAAAAATATGTATTACTCACTTATTGTTATAAATTACAGTTGGGACAACTACTCAAAGTCTAGTTTTAGAGTGAG